TTTAAAGTGAACACTTGGTTAAACACATCCATGCTAAAAGATTCAAACAAGCAATTTTTAGCTCTAGCATTGAAATGAATTTCTTTTTCTTCACTCTTTGTGGGTTTATCGGGATTCTTAATGGGTTTCATCCCATCACGAGTGACTCTCCAAACACCTAAATCTACTGCCTCAAGGTGACAAGCCATTCTAGCTTTATAGTAGGGGAAGGTAGTGTCATCAAAGTATGGAGGTCTAGAGGTATCCATCCCAACCACTCTAAGTAGCGTCGGCTCAACGACGGTGAAGCCAAAGGTCAAAATTGAGTCAACCTGGCTCCGATACCAATTGAAAGGTTACTGTGACACCTAAGAGGGGGGGTGAATTAGGCAACTTAAAAGTCTAACTCTAAACTATGGCCTCTATTTCTACTCTTAGCAAAACCTATGCAAAAGGTAAACTATCTAAATGTGCAACTACGGTTTTGCTAGTGTGTTGCTATCTCTACAGCAAAAGAAGTTATGCAAACAATGTAAATGCAGAAGCTAAAAAGTAAGGTAGAGATATGTAAACTCCCATCAACGACTCTGATATTTTTATCAGGGTATAGAGAAGCGCGCAAGCTTTCCCCTAGTCCTCGTTGGAGCCCCTTGCAATGAATCCCTCGCAAGGGCCAAGCTCCCGGTTGGGTAACTCCGTGGATAGCCCTGGGCCTTCCCCACGCGTAAGTGGGTCTCTGGTGTGCCTTCTGGCAAGCCTCTCCCAGATCGCTCCCCGCCGTCTTCACTATCAAGCTTTCGGCCGAACCGCCGCTGGCCTTGTTCCCTCCGGTACACGGTGGCGGCCACACCACAAACTCAGTTGGTGTGATCTCACAAGATTACAAGCCCCTCCGATATACAACAATGGTGCGCGTAAGCACTGAGTGGTAAGAGGTATGCAAACCTCACTAAACACTAGGTCTAAACCTAGAGCAAGCGCATAAGCGGTGGTCTAATCAACCTAAGCACTTCACAAAGCACCTACGCTAATCACCTAATGAATCACTAAGCACTATGCAAGTGGAGATCACTAAAATGGTGTATTAACACCCTTGGTATGTTTCCTTAACTCCACACTACTCAAATGGCCGGTTGGGGTCTATTTATAAGCCCCACTAAGAAAGTAGCCGCTGGGGATGAAACCCAGCTTTCTGCTACTGACATCACGCTGATCACGTCCTAACCAGACGCGTCCAGTCGTCCAGACCGTTGTAGCGCGCACGTTGATCGGACTCAACTCAAAGTCCGGTCATCATCGATCGGACACGTCCGGTCGCGCTAGCGCCGCTTTGGAACCTCTCTAGATTCGATCGGATGCTGCACTTCATGCGTCCGGCCGTCCAGTCTGCTGCGTCCGGTCACGCAAAAAACACTGCCATGACGATGAATAATGTCACCGGTGTGTCCGGTCACTGCTTCGCTCAGCGTCTAGTCACTGCTGTCGACGCCTACTATTGCCTGGCACTTGATTGGACGCGTCCGGTCACTCATACATCCGCGTCCGGTCACCTCTACCGAGCTCGTTTCTTCGCGATCTTGCATCGGGCTTGGTTCCAATCTTCGTGCTTAGACTTTACTTGACCTTGTATGTCTTCTATGCATCTTCACATGTCTTTCTTGAGGTGTTGATCATCGGATCATCATGTATCCTTCGTCCAAGTCATGTTTTGCATCCTATTGAACTACAAAATAATTATTTGCAAATCCATTAGTCCAATTTGGTTGTGTTGGTCATCAAACACCAAAATCCAAATTAAATGGGCCTAAGGTCCATTTTCCTTACATGGCCGAAGAAAATGCAGCTGCCCGCAAGACCGTGAAGGAGCAGATCAAGAAGATGCAGCATGATTTTAGGGATTATTAGAGGAAGAAGCGTGATGAATGTAATAAGATCGTTGCTGGCGTTCAAAAAGCTACGGATATGTACAAAAATCTCATCGAGAGCGTGGGCGAGGAGTCGAACATCCCCTCGTGATGCTCCTGTTATTGACTTCATGGAGCGGCTAGCGAATGAGCTGGCCATCGTAAGTGATCACATGACCGTTGGGTGGGAGTACGTCTCTTTTGTTTCCCTTCGCTTTTTCGCTCAAGCTTTGGAAGAGTGTGGATGTGATCATCTCGACAAGTTCGAGATAAAGGACCCCTAGGCTTACAAGAACACCCCCAGCCATGCTCATGAGGCTGGGCAAAGGTTCTTTGAAGGCTTTTGGCGTTGTCACACTCGGTTTTCCAAAGAGAACCAGGCGCTCGTTATATGTGTGCCCATGAAGTCCACACATACAACAACAGAATAGAAATATCATGAAAACAATGTTATATAGCAAAAAACATACATATATTAACACTTACAACTATTAGAGTATTGTGAAATGGTTGCTAAGCTTCTTCTCGGGCTCCGTTCTTCTCAGGGATGGCTGACTGGGGGCTCCATACGCCAAGCACTTCTGATTGACCTTGGAAAACTCCTCTGCATCTTTGTCCTTCTTCTGAGCAGCACTTTACTACACACTAGGGTGTGGGAGGAATTGCAAGGGTGAGTCCATGTCGAACTCAACAAGTATAGGCGGAAGGTATAATGACATGCAAGGCTATAACAAAGGTAGGTTGACTCAGTTTGACTGTTTTAGCATTTTAGTTGGCAAACTTTTATTATTGCAACCTAATCACTAAGATGAGTGAAAGATCCCAACCATTAATTAATAGAGTGAGTATAACATTTTTATTATCATTATATAACCGAGGTAGCAACCTTAACATTAACCACGGGGTAGCAATCCCAAATAGTAACCCGGGGTAGCAACCCCAGTTAAGAGCACGGGATAGCAATCCCACCAAAACAGGAGGTAGCAACCTCAAACCGCATAACCATCTCCACTATCCATGTGAATCATATTCTAATCATGTGAGGATCTGTGCCGCTCATGTCCGTGAGCATAGCCGATATATCAGTTTTAACTCTACAGATGTGTACACTTTCACTTTAAGTCATGATTCCCATTTGCTCGGGGTTGTGACTCCCCAAAACACTACTAAGGTGAGTAGGTAGGGTCTCACTACGAGACTTTTCATAGTTCATAACTAGTAGGTAGCAACCTGCTAAGGATTCCCCAACAAAAGGTAAGATCCCTCCTCCAAGTGGTGACTACCAAGAAAACCAAAGTGCACCCCCTTGGCAGGCCGAGATCAAACCAATCAGAGCCCTTCTTGCGCCTACCCAGTAAGCTACCACAAACTAGCAGAAGGTCTGCTACTACGTCAAGCCAGAGCCATGTGGCTTGAAGCTATACGGTAAGTCCCAGGTGGCTGCTCCACGAATCGGTCCTTAGGGAGGGCAGACACGGGTACCCCTGAAAATCGGGCCAAGCTCCAGTACTCGTTCTCCCTTCATCGCCTGAACCATGATGCTATAAAGCATCTTTACTTCACCATCATTATAGTAGCCAATAATCATCATTATAGTAATCGTTAATCATCATTATTTTCATCAACGTGTAATAGTTGTGAGTGGAGCATCTAAGCATAACTACACTACCCAATATTGAATCCTAGGTAAAACAACGAAGGTAATAAGAAGACTAGTCATGTCCTTAGGGTTTGCAATATTTAGACACATGCAATGAAAGTATAGGTGAATTACAATGAATAGGTACAAAATGATCAAACGGTGCCTGCACTTGCCTTTTTCCCAAAAGTCTAGCTGCTCAGAATCTTCAGCTTCTATCTTTTGGTCTCCAACTTTTGTTGCACTTGTCGGTCCTCAGCTCCTGATCTTCAGCGCTAACAGACCGCTCTCCTTCCACTCGCAACAACCAAGCAAGACAAACAACACAAACAAACACAACTAAGAACAACAGACATCAAACAAAAGAGATGCCTGAAAAGAGTGCACTAAATGGCACGGCTCGTTGCTACGATCATGAGAGCGTAAGAACGACTGAGAATGGAGCTATCGTTATCTTTTATTGAAAACAACGATTTTCACTAACCGTGAACGGTGAAATTAAAGACAAGACCATAGTTAAAATGCCTATAAAGCTTTTGAGATAAATCTCAGCCACCGGTGGTGAGGCCACATTCTACGGCCCACCCAAAATTCTGCAGCCAAATTAATTAGCTACTCCCTTCATCCTACAAGGAGAGTCATTTTAAAAATTGAAAAGATACCAATACAATCGTCAAATGACCAAACATACCTCTACAAAAAGTCAGGGCCTGTTCGTTTGAACTTATCAGTCGGCTTATCAGCTAGAATCTACAGTATTTTTCTCTCACAATAAATCAGCTTCAGCCAGCTTTAATACCAGCCGAACAAGCCCTTAGTCTATAGTACCATTTTTAGTGGGTTGAGCTACAAACTTACTAGGTGAGACCCACATATTTCCCTATGATGGCACTTTTTATGGGATGAAATTTGAATGCTAAAATGATACTTATATGGGATGGAGGGGAGTAGTTACTTTTTAGATAAATGCCAAATAATTTTTGTTAGCCTCCTAGAGTTGTACCCCACCACTCACCATCTTCTCCTCCCTGCCAAGCCTCCAAATGCTCCTCGCTGTCGGCAAGGCGGAATCAAGATTCAGATATAGGGGGCCCAGTTTACCAAGTGTTTGACAAAATTTTTAGGATACTTTAATATTGGCTTAAAAGTTTATTAACCTAGATGTTGGCTTAAAAACTATAGATTATCTTTAATCTCTTTCTTTTTCTTGACAAGTGCTAATTGTCTACCAACAATTCACATCATATTTATTTTATCTAACTTAGAATTATACAATCAGGAGATATTTAACTTGAAAAAATACAACAGAGATTTTTTTTGGGATTAATACAACGGAGAAATGTATTTTATTTTAAATTGCACTTTTGTTACCCGAGCCGAAAGAAGGCCCAAACGAGAAGCCCATGGACATTAGACGACGTTGTACCTAGATCCGATGACTGGACGTCACAGGAGCGCTATGAATGAATAGACACAAATTAGAAACGGCCTCGCAGGCCCGCCGCCGCCGGTTCGCGCACGCCGAATTCGAGCCGCCCCGCGGTGGCCGGTCTGAACACCGCCTCCGGGTCCGCCTCCATGGTTTGGGCCAGCCGCGGCCACAGCCTGGCGCTCACCACCCACGACCCGTCCTCCGCCGGATTCCGGGCCACAATCATGTTCGCCGACCCCAGCCGGCCCGGCCGAACCCACGGCATGACCAGGCGCGGCCGCCCGAAGCCGAAGTCTCCCTCCACCCTCAACGGCGTGACCGAGGATATCACCAGCGCGGGGCTCCCCGTGCCCGCGCCCACCGCCTCCGTCCACTTCGCGCCCTCCCGGAACACCCCCTTGTGCGCCTCCATCCAGTCCACAAGCTCCTCGTACCGCTCGGACCGGAGCGCCTTCTTGATGGCCGCGCCCGCCATCGCCGCCACGTCTGCGATCGGCGTCGACGAGATGGACTCCACGGTGGCCTCGTGCGACACGTTCGTGAGCACGTTGCCGAGGTAGCGGTCCAGCCGGGCCTTGTCGTACTTGGCGGGGTCAAGGTGCATCCGGCCGTTGACGAACCACGCGAGGCGGCAGTGCGTGTCGGAGCCGTCCACGGCCGCCGCCAGCAGCTTCCAGACGTGCGCGGACAGGGCCTCGAGCCGCGTGGCTCGGCGGCCGGCTGCGCTGGCCGCGGCACGGAGGCGGTCGAGGTCGGCGGCGGAGACCACGTACATCCGGCGCACGAGGGTGGCCACCAGGAGCGAGTTGGGGAGACTGTCCGGCGCGTACCGCGCGAACTCGGCGTCCAGGGACGGGGCGTACCGCGGCGGCGAGCGCGGCGGGAAGAGCGAGGCCCGCTCGTGGTGGGGCTCCCACGAGAGGCCACCGGTGCGGAGCTTCTCCGCCCAGGCATTGGGCAGGGCCATCAGGCCGTGGCCGTCCACGAGCAGGTGGTCCGTTCCCCACACCAGCGCGAAGCCGCCGCACGCGAACCGCACGAGCTGGAGCGACAGCGCGAGGCCCTGCTCGAACGGCACCGGGATGATCCTCAGGGAGCGGTCGGCGTCGGAGAAGTCGACCGTGGCGAGCGCCACGCCCACGTCGGCCACCACGAGCTCGGCGCCGGCGTTGTTGCAGGCGATCTCGGGAACGCCGGTGGAGGCGTTGGTGACCACGCGCCCGGCCAAGGGGAAGAACCGGGAGAGGAACGCGGGGAAGGCGGCGCGCACGGCCGCGCCCACGGCGGGGAGCCCGGCGGCCGGGGCAGGGTACACGGTAACAAGGTACATGTGGAAGGAGCCGAAGATGAGGTCGAGGTTGGAGACCGCGAGCATGGCGGGGAAGCCCGGCGGCGGGTCCGACGCCGGCACCAGCGTCCGGGACGCGACCGCGGCGTTGATGCGCTCCATTGGCGGCATTCCCTCAAAGCTGAGCGCCACAAAGCATACAGACATATACGGCGTTCTCGGCCTCTCTTTAAGCAGCACGTGATTAGTACCGTTGTCGCTTCTCATGCTTGGACAGCGTTACAGCTACGTAGCAGTATGAGATTCTACCGTTGTCGGTCGGCACAGGACCACAGGTGAACAGCAGTGGCAGCGACGTAGCAGCGGCAGCAGACGCCATCATACAGCAAGCGACCCTTGAATTTGAAGGGCAAAAATGATAGGAACACCGAACACGTGTGTATTATACTGCATTACTACTACCTCTTCTCTGATTTTTATCTTGAACAGCTGAAGCTAGAGTTCAAGAACCCAAAGATCTGCAGTAATGCCGGATTTGCAATTGATGCATGACGAAGCAAGTAATGTCTTCACTAGTAAAACACCAACAGCTTAGCAGACTCAGATTCATGCTTTGATGCTATCACATCGGAAACGAACCAATTGTGTGTTCACTTTGAATGGTTAAAACATCAATAGCAATACCATCAAGCTTAAGAGCAACCAATTGTTTACTGTTTCACGCCGAATCCAAGATGAGTAAGCCACCTAACCCTGCAAGGTCTTCACAACTCAAAACATATGGTATAGTTGACAATGCGTCATTGCTACACCACATACTTAAGAACAATTTCTCTAGAAATGACTAAGGCAGGGTCCACACAGTTAATAACACTGCAATCCTTCTATGAAAAGGGGAAACAAAAAAAAATAGCCAGTTTCATAATGAGCCCTGTGAAAAGACTGCAGCTCTGAATTCTGATTACCAATCCAGTGACTGACGTGCTTAGGCACGGTCGCGAAAAAAACTTCTGAGTGAATGACTTTTCGAAAAGTCTACTATCCGAAATAAAAAAGGGGATCATAAGTTCAGCAACTGCATGGGCAAAAGGACGACGGAAAAACAGGAAAATGCCCAAGGACTCCACAAATTTCAACAAGACTTATTAATGAGATGATTGGTGGAAGAACTGAAACATATGACACTCTGCATGGTTGACAGTATGCCACTGAGTAGCATACATTGGGCATTTCCTGAATAGAAATATGCTGCGGCAGTTTAGTTAACATTGCACCTTTGACATCAAGTATTCCTTCCCATTTTCACATTTAAAATTTATTGGAACCACAATATTCACCAGGAAATAAGAAAACTTATAGCCACCCAGTGTTCTGGTGAACAATTTCACTATTGCACCAGGGCGCCAGGGCGCCAGGGCGCCAGGCAGTAGATACCTCATGCGCCACAGATTATATTTCTAAGCAACGGAAAACATATCATTGGCAGATAAAGAATGAACTGGATACAAATCCCTGCATGCATATTAAAGCATGCCAACGTTCAGCAACTGGCCAACAGAAATATAGGTGAGCAGAGTCCAGGTCCAGGATCCAAGTTATTATAAGAACACATATGAAAATCCTGAAACAATAGAGCACGCTATGCTGGAAAAAGACATACCCACACCAACACTGTGTCAATGTTGAAAATTCTAATATACTCCGTTCGTTCCAAATTATAAGTCGCTTTAACTTTTTTTTTTTACATCCTCTACAAAATCCAGAGAAGCCGATGACTCCCAACTTTTGTGTTCAGATATCAGAGCTTGTGTTCACCTAGAAAAGAAGAGATTCAGGGATTGGAAGCCTGGAGACCATGTAAACTGGAACATCTCAATGAAGAGGATACCATACTCATTACAGAAGATAGACTGTTTCAGTTTTTTCATGCTCATCCATTGCATGATACTCGATCCATGTTCGGAACCATCTAACAAGACATTCCACATGAACTCATCTTATGCATCCTGAACCATATATGACTACCTGATCCCATTCCCAACAGTGCAACTCTAGGCGAACTTTGGTCTTGATCAGAGGACTCTGTACCAAGACCAAGCAGACTGCACACCACAAGTAACTGCGATCTACTCACAATCAGAAATGGCAAAGGATAAATCATAAGAGCACATTTTTTAACAGCTGAACAGACTTGAGGAGATGATTACTTGACCATCTGAACTTGAATATCCTAAGCAAACCATGATCAACAGAGATTTATCAAATCACAATTTCACAATACGTAGATCAATAGATTGCTGGAACTAGATATTCAGGGCCTGTTTGGCACAGCTCAACTTCACTAGTAAAGCTATTTTCCAAAAACAGCTTCATGAGTAACTTTTTAGGTGAACCTGAGCTGTTTTGGAAAAATTGTTTGGCAAAACAGCTTCACCAACAACTTAATACATGGATGGGAGAGAGAAATGAGGAGAGAGCTAGGATAAGCTACTTTTTTCAGCTTCATCCCAACTCATATCTTTGTGAGAGGGGGAGAAAAACAACTTCATAAATGAAGGTGTTTTGAAAATAAGTGTTTGGCAAATAAAGTAGCTCACAACAGCTCTGTGCCAAACAGGCTCTCAGAGAGCAAGCAACTATAGTATCACAAAGTCGACTTAATGTTCCAAGCAAACCACAAGCAACTACTATCACAATAGATTGCTAGAACTTAATCTATCAAACACAAATGGATAAATCAACACATTGCTAGCGCTGACATTCAGAGACATATGCAATGCAAGGTTTTAAATCTCCGGCTATAGCCTCCGCTATCTCCGGCTATAGCTGTTTAAGAAGGATTTAGCTAAGTTTTTTCATGTACAAGTTAGCTCTTAGCTGCCGCTATAGCCGGCTATAACCTGTTTTCGGACAAAGCTAAATGGCTTAGCCGGCTATTTAAAACCTTGATGCAATGTAGCAGTAACAACCACCCACAGAACAGAGCAAACAGAATAACAGATGCAGAACAGAATTGAACAGAACATGAGTAATTTTTCAAAGCAAGCAAAACAGCAACGCCGCATAAAGTTCCATCAAGAATTCGTTCACCATGCAGCAGTACGTGCGGATACATTTCATCACGCGATGACATGAACATCCATCAATCCGAGTATCCGACTACCAAAATCTCATCCCTCATCTAACAACCAAACTGCAAGCTCAAAATCCTACTAGTTGCTAAGAAACTCAGAAGAGAACGGACGGGCTCACGCATCACTGCCCTACGCCGTAGCCCTGATCAGCTGGGATCGTCGCGGAGGTCATCGGTGTGGAGGCGCAGTCGCCGAAGGGTCCCCCGACGCCGCAGCTGTAGTTCGTCTGGAGGTCGGAGGCGACGGCCACCGAGGCGGCGAGGTTGGCGAGGTGGAGACGGGGGAACGGAAGGTAGATGCCGTGGACGGCGACGCGCGAGTTGATCACCACGTCAGGTTCCTTCACGGGTATGTAGTTGATCCGGACCTCGTCGGTGGCGGAGCCGGAGCCGAGGGTGATGACGAGCTTCTGGTCCTCGCCGGCCAGGGTGGGAAGTATGGTGCCGGGGCGGAGGAGCAGGAGGTCAGCGCGGGTGAGGCGGTGCCCGGGGACGATGTGGAAGCGCACCGCCGAGACGTAGCCGTGGCCTCCACCGGTGAAGATGACCTGGTCGTCGAGCGCGAACACCGTGAGGTTGGACAGCTTCTCCAGCTCGGCGAACTTGACGCGCATGGCCAGCGCCACGAAGCCGAAGCCGCTGTCGCGCAGGCGGGATATGGCTTCGCGGATCATGATGCGAACGACGGAGGCGGCGGTCGCGGCGGAGGTGGCTGCCGATCTGGCGCTGAGGTGGTGGTGGCGGCGGTAGTGGTGGAGGTGGACCTGGTGGTGGTGATGCGCATGCGCGTCGTCCTCGACGCAGGAGGCGCGGGAGAGCGGCGGGATGAAGCCGTGGAGGCCGTGCACGACGTAGCGGCCGTCGTCGTAGAGCTCAGGTTCCGAGACCATGACGCCGTTGACGTACAGGCTGGCGTGGTGGACGGAGAAGGGCCCGCGCTGTGGCTGGGCGGCGACGTCGAGGCAGAAGCCGACGGAGGCCGACGGGAGCTTCATGGCGGGCGCGGCGGCGAGCTCGGCGTAGGGGAAGTAGCCCAGGGCCATGTGGTCGAGGAGTAGGTGGCGTCGCGAGCACTCGGGGCAGGAGTGCTGGAGGAATACGTCGGGGGCCGCGAAGACGGTGATCGCCCCGGGCCATGCCGCGACGGACGCCGTGTCGGCGAGGAGCGTGGCCGACGAAGCCATCTCGTTGTACCCCAGCGACGCGAGCACCTTGGCTATCTGCTGGAGGCCGAGGTCGTCGCCCGTGCCCGAGGACGCCACCCGCGCAGCGTCGTCGTGGACGGGAGGCGGAGGGCTCGCCGCGTCGCGGTACGGCTCGTCGACGACGGGAGGAGGAGGAGGCGGAGGGATCGCCGCGTCCCGGTACGGCTCGTAGACGACGGGAGGAGGAGGCGGAGGGATCGCCGCGTCCCGGTACGGCTCGTAGACGACGGGAGGAGGAGGCGGAGGGCTCGCCGTGTCGCGGTACGCCTCGTCGACGACGAGAGGAGGCGCAGGGCTCGTCGCGTCGCGGTACGGCTCGTCGACGACGGGAGGAGGAGGAGGAGTGCTCGCCGCGTCGCGGTACGGTTCGTTGACGACGGGTGGAGGAGCCGCGGGCTCCGACTCGGACGACCCCGCCTCCTCAGCCTGCGGCTGCAGCGGCGCGAGGGAGGGCGGCATCGGATCCCCCGCGGCGAGGAGGGGAGGGGGAGGCGAGGGAAGGTCGAGCCGCGTGGTGTCCCCCGCGTCCGCGGCCGCGGCCGCGCCCATCGCCGCCATGGCGTCCTCGCCCGAGGGAGCCTGGGCGGCCACGGAGGTGAAGAAGGGGTTGAGGACGCGCAGCGACTGGCGGGTCTCCTCCGACGCCGACTCCATGCGGTTCTGGTGCATGGACGGCGCGGTGTCGAGGCGGGCGGTGGCAGTCATCGTGGACGGGTAGCGGTGGTGGTGGTGGTGGTGACCGTGGCCGTGGTGCTGGAGGTGGAGATGCTGGGAGTGGGCGGCGGCGGCGGTGGAGAGGAGCAGAAAGGCGAGGAGGAGGGGCAGGTGGAACGGCGGAGCCGCCATGGCTGCTCTGCTGCGGGCGAGGGAAAGGGCTGCTGCGGCTGAAAGCCTGAAACGGAGTGGGTGGTGGGGTGGGGTTTATATCGCCAGAGGCCAGAGCACGGAGCGGAGAGCGCCGCTCGCGACGGTGCCGTGCCTGTACGTCCAAAGTCCAGACGGGCTCGGGTTTTGCTCTCTTGGCCAGCAAGTAGATCAATGTGAAGGACGGAAATGCCCCTCTGCACCTCTTGGCGATCACCGTTTTGGCGGGAGAATTCTCATATTCTTTTCTTTTTTGGTTGCTGATGATGCACTGTCCTTGCGCTTATCTCCTGCTTCAGCTGTGTGTACTTTGCTTTTGAGTCGGTTACAGCCATTGGGTTGTTCGTGGGAATGCCACGTAAAGTTGTGCTTGTTCTACCGAGTAATTTGATAACTCTAGTTTACCGCGTAATAAAGATAAAATTACATCAAGGCGAAACACACGTGCATTGAATACTGGAGAAGCTAACGTTTGATATTGTAGCTCAAAAAAATTGGAGTTGCCTGCCTCAATCTTTAGAAATTTTCAAGCAACAATCAACTAGTACAATTAAAACGACAACTCACACAATTCACATTTTTTTCTATAGCCAAATAATCATAAAATTACATGTTCCCTTAACAACATAAAAAAATCAAGGGTACTGGGTACCAATATGATGGAACTGTACAATAGATGACAAAGCAAGAAATGCAGGCAGATCCAAATACGTAGCATACAGACACTGATTACATGTCAAAACAAAACTACAAACTGGCATACCAAGAGAGAAAAATATATAGTCCACAACCAGCTCAAAACATTCTGTGAAAGGAAATTATCCTTGCCACAAAACATCACCATAAGTAAACAAATTGTGACTAAACAAAATAAAAAACATTGAGCAACATTTAAGAGTGCATACTCAATCCCAAAACAGCAAAGCAAAGTTGGGCCGATTACATAGCATCACGAGGGAATATCCACGTTGGGAGCCCCTGACCACCACTATGCTGTGGAGTAATTGCAGTCTCTGATAACAAAGGAGTGATGATCTCATTTGTCATGTTGTACACACCAGAGTCCCGAAGAGGATCAACAGCAAGGCCTGTTCGCTTGCTCGTAAACGATCGTAAATTTCCAGCCGAGAACAGTGTTTTTCTCTCACACCAAACCAGCCGGCAGTAAATAATCCACGATACGATACGGCCTCCCGAACAGGCTTGAAGTGTATGCAGTCCTCTTGAATTCCAGTGCACCCTCCAGCTGGGTAAGACTTGGAGCAATGCTTCCCAACAAAGAGTGCCTGGTCACCCAACTTAGAGACACATCTCCATTGGCCTGGTTTGGCGCTCCAGTCTGCCTCAAAGACCTCAAATGCCACAGTGCGGTCACCTTGACTGGGACCATGACTTAACGCACAATCCCACTCAACCGTCAGTATCACCATCAATAGTCTACCACAACATTCAACTAGATAACTCATCTGCATGTACAATTTCCCATGGGGCAAAGGTTGGGGCAGTGCAAGTCTTTTAGTAGGCCTAGTTATGCATTTGATGAAGGGCAGGCCTGGTGCAGTGGTGAGAGCTGTCTCACTGAGTCACCAGGTCGCGGGTTCGAAGTAGCCTCTCTGCAGATTTTGCGGGGGAAGGCTTGCCTCGGTTTTTTCCTTCCCCAGACCCCACTCATGTGGGAGCCTCCGGCACTGGGTGTGCCCCCTTTAGTTATGCATTTGACAGATGATATCGTCGGCTTACTATCAAGACCACAATTAATCTCAAATATTGATACAACTTCCCATTAAAGAAAGCAATATCAGAAAGGTGGTTAAAACGACCGAGGTTGCTCTCTATGGCCAAGTAGGTTCCAATTGATTGCTGGAATATACGAATTGTACTGCCACTGCCCAAGATCAACGCAGCAACAAGGGAACCTGGTGATGATTCCATGGGCGAGGGCACTGCCAGCTTAGTAAAATAAGAATTATAGCTGGAGCTTGCATTGAACCACTTGATGTCTAGCATAGGAAGGTTCCGTGTGGCCTTGGAGAAAGGGTTCATCAATGAGCACCCACCATCATGATGCACAAAGAAGAGCCAGTCATCAGCAGAACCACAGCAACGGGCATCATCTGATCCCAGCATTCTGATAATTTTACCATCTGGGATTGTCAGGAAGGTTCCGTCAAGCAGGGTGAGCCATGGAAGCGGAGGTGGCAGTAGCTGCAACAGAGCATTGGAGCGCCATGGGCGGCACACTGCCCTTAGTCGAACACGATCAGCTAAGGAGGGAAGCTGCATTAGGACAAGTCCAAAGAGTTCTGGCTGGAGGTCTGGCCAAGATGAAGATTGTGCCTCCATCATGCAAAGTGCAAGCCTGAGAAGAAATGAGATAGAATCAGAGTTAACAAACAACAGACTTAACAACGTGTAACTAACATGAGTGAAATAGAACCGTGTAATATTCAACAAGGCAGCACACAGTCATGGATAGCAGAAAGATAAGCTCAGGGTTTAGCAAACTCCAAAGTAAAGAACCCCCATATTTATCTGGAGGGCTGTAATTTTGCTGGATTCTTGCAGGATTTCTACACTCCTGTGCTCCAAACAGGTGGTGGTGCCAGGATTTGGATTTGGGTATTCCCTTTTCCGAAGCAAAAACAAGTTCAATAAAAAAAATACTAATAGAAGGTACAGGATCTTTAACTTTTCGATGCTACTCTATATTCAGCAATTAAGTATCTCCGTTCATCCAAATGGCAATCGTTCACTAAATCACTAATAGAAGCCTGCTCTGACATGCTAAAGCGAGCATTCCAATATTCAAACTACACAAAATTAGCTAGATCACTGCTTCCTCCTATCCAGATCGGGTCCCTGGCGCGTACTATAATTCTGATAAACTGGGACATATTGTCTCGTACTCCGTAGCAATCATCAGTTGGCGTCAAAATTCAAGGTCGATCCTTGTGATGCCTGAGCATTACGTACCTCCCCTTGTGTCTTGTGTTCGTTCGTGTCGTCCCGCGGGAGCGCGATGGCGAGCAAGATCTCGCGCGCGTTGTCCCGCAGCCCGCCACCTACCTTGGCGGCTTGGCCCTCCCTCACTGCGCCCGCCGGCCACCGTGGCGCCGCCCGCGTCGTCCTCTCTTGCGAGTTGCGTCCTGCCTAGGGTTTGGCCCAATTTGGGGAGCTGGAACAGAAGACTAGACGGCCACACGAGTGGGCCGGCCTCAGGAAAGAGGATACTCAGGATAGTGGGCTTTGTGGGCGCCTGGGTAGTCGGCCGGTTGGGTCGCATGACTCGCATCGCACCGGGCTGACTTCTCTATCTCAGAGAACAGAGAATTTCTGCTAAAAAAAACAGAGAATTTGTTTTTGAGCGGCGTGAGTTTGTATGCAAGAGATTTAATAGTTTTGAAAACTACTCCATCCGCTCAGAAATGATAAGCGCATTTGATTATAAAAAATTCAATCAAAAAATATTTTCACTGTTAATTTCTCTTACTATATATTATCATTTTGCTAAAAAAATCAATATAATCTCAAAGACACTTTAAATACAAATCCATTGATATACATGTTCTAAACTTTGATATAATTTGGTAGTTGTTAGTAAAAAAATTTATAAGTTGACTTTTCTCTGTTTAAAATATAATTATCATTCTAGGAGTAGTTTTTTTATCAAGTGGTGAACTAACTGATACGGAATTCACAGCTGAGTCATCGCCTTCCTGGAAGGGAATTGAACATGGGCTGGATTTACTGGAAAAAAAGGTCGATTTGGTGGGTCCGTGGGTGGGAAATGGAGATCATATCAGAATATAGAGGGGCAATTGGATTCCGAGGTGCCATTGTTGAAGATTACTGAGAGAAGGACAAGATGCAGGTTACGGTGGGTGTCCATGCATTCTGATGTTCGAGACTGGGACAATTTGCTAAGGGAGGAACTCACGAAAAAGTGGGAGCTAGTTCTGGAAAATGACCTGCTGAGAACAGGACCCGAATGGTTTCTCATTTTGCTAGAGAACACAGAAACGGAGGAAAGAGCCCATCTACTATTCTGCTTCTGGAAAGCATGCATATGTGGAATGATGCAATACATGGCAGTGGTAAAGCATCAGTGTCTGGATCAGTTAGGTTCGCTGACAGTTATTATTGGCGATCCCTGCTGAGCATCCGACACGGGTCTGAAGATGCAAGGCAAATCTCTAATGGCTAGTGGCTGGAAACCGAAAAAGGAATGTGACACTGAAGATAGATGGTAAGGAGGAGAGGAAGAGGAAGTGGACTTCACTGTACAGCCAGAGGGATGGGTATAAAACTGAGTGTTGATGCAGTTTTCCAACATTCTTCAGGTGCATCGAGTAGCGGTGCTGTCATCAGAGATCACTCTGGGCAAGTGCTGCTGTCAGCATGGAAGGTGAACCAACGTTGCACAACTGCAGAAGATGCTGTAGCATGCTTTAAAGGTATCCAGGATTCCAGCTTGCGGTGGAATGGATCAAGAAACCTGCTATAATTGATTCTGATTTCAGAAATACTGTAGAGGTTTTACAGGCATCCATGAAGAGCAGATCCCGATACTCAAATATATGTTTGGACAGAAATCTACACCGGCTTACACCAATGCGCAGGTCAACGAAGTTGGAAGGATGGTTGTGGAAGAATGAATGTTTGAGGATAAGAGGAGACCCCTGCAAGGAAAAGGAACTGTTGAAGAAACAGAATAGCTACAAGCACCGTCCAATAACATCACTACATCAGCAATACTTTGCAAAATATGCCTTCTGAATTGCATCCCATGAAACAGTACATATTGCTTCCCTGAGTGCAAACTCAAAACAATATCAACAACTCCAATTGCCACCTGAGTGTGCTCCGGATTCATGAACTCTTAAGACCTGTGTGCTTGCACTTATACGAATTTCCGCTGCAAAAGACAGCTCAACTTATCACCTGTTATTTGGCTCAGAAAACGATAAATAATTTCCAGCGAAAGTTGTTTTTCTCTCACACTCCAACCAGGATGTAATCCACGTCGATTTTCCCAGAACAGGCTGTATGTCTTTGTATGTGTATTGTAACGCAGGCATCTCCACCCCATAACAGGGCCTTTAATGCGTGATAGTAATGACATATACTTTTGTCATTGTAACTAAGCCCAACGATTGTAACTAAACCCAACGATTAGAAGCAACATCCACCAATCACCCATCTGAAATGACAATTTCGGAGACATATGTACTACTAGCTAGCATCAAACTTTATGTAGACATAGGGAAAACTCGGCACATCTATCCGAATGGCATAAATATGGTTAGTGAAGTAGTAAGAATTTGCTTAGAGAGGCTGAAAGCGTAGGAGGAATGGAATCTCACTGCTGACCAATGAGTAGGCGAGGAGAGAGGAGCGTGGGGAAAACTGGGCACACCAAATTATCCGAATGGCATAGATTTGTTTAGTAAAATAGTACTACTAGGAATTTGCTTGGGAGTTGGGAGGCTGGGAGGGATGGAATCTCACTGCTGCTGACCACCGAGGCGATGAAATGGGGGAGATGAGATGAGAGGACCGGCAACCAACTTCCCGCGGAGAGCAGCAGCGAGCGCTCGAGCCGGGCTGCGGTGGGCGGTGGCCCACCGCCGCCGCCAGTGCCCCAGCTGCCCAGCAGAGCGCGATCCGCAGAGAATGCAGCGGTAGTGTGATCCTCCAAAGGGGCGGCGCTTAGGCAGTCGGCGTGGAGGAAGCCAGGGCGACGGATTCGGTGCATCATGGCTTTTCTCCGGTGGGGCTTGCGTTGCCGTCTTGCCGAGGCGGCAGCCTGACCGGACACCGGAGGGCGGAGGCACAGAGGGTGACGTGAGGCAGAGAGCCCGCGCCCCGTAGATGTGGGCTTGTGGGCCCTACCATCGGGCTGGGCCCAGTGTAAAATAATAAAATATGGGACAGCTCATGGGCCGTAGTCTAGTTTTTTTTTGGTAACAACTGTAGTCTGGTCTGGTTCGAAGTGGCGCGAACGCCTCCCCATCTCGCTTGCCCACGTGGCCTCGCCCGCGTCCCTTGGCGCCATCTCCGTTCCCGCCAGGTCTTCGCGCCACCCCCCGTTCCCGCCAGATCTTCGCGCCATCTCCCACCCGGTAACCCGCCGTATATATCCACCGTCCTGATCCGGGTCCCTCAGTCGTTAATCCCCGACCCAAATCACCAGCCAGCGAGACGGCGCTATCCTCCCCTTCTCAGGATCGAGATGGTCACCACCCCGCCGTCCAAGAAGGCCAAGACGACGAGGGCCGCGGCGCCGCCGCACAAGCTGAGGGAGGCCGCCGCTCTGGCGGACGAGGTCCGGACGCCGGAGAAGCCCGCGAAGAAGTTGGCGCCGGCGGCGGCGACGGTGACGGCCGCCGAGCAGATCCCGACGCCGGAGAAGCTGGAGGAGATGCCGAGGGCGCGCGGCCGCAGCGTGGCGTTCTCCGTCAAGGAGATCCGCCGGGCGGCGCTCGGGCTGCGGCGGCCGGCGGCGCAGGCTGAGGCGGCGGTGGAGGATGAGCTCGAGTCCGTCGAGCGGGAGCTCGGCGTTGGCGCCGGGTCTAGCCGGAGCCCCGTCAAGCGCAAGGCGGAGGTCAAGCTGCCGGAGAGGTAAAGATCCCTGTCCCCGATGTGATTTCGGATCTGGTTTACGCTTGCAAATCGAACTGCTTGCAAATTTCGTTTTAGTTTTCACCAACGCTGATTTTACTATTCCCCCAATCTGAAGTTTGCCTCCCGATAAAAGGGGGGATTTTAGGATGTTATATAGCAGCGAATTTATGTAATAGAACATCTAGCTGTGGGTTTATGTAATACAATAGAACATAAATAATTACTAGGCGATTCGTTTCTCTGGTGATGATATATCTTCACTGGTATTGCAGCTACGAGATGCTCTGTGAGTTCTTCAATTGCTTGGAGAGTTCCACCCGGCTGCTCCGTATGAAGGGATCCAAGGCCACTTTCCCCAACATCTGTTCTAGCATTCAGCATTTGACTGAGCGGTATTAATCTTGTTCACAAGTAATCTTACAATAACTGTTGTGCTGGATTATTGTATTTATAAGTTACCTAATTTTTGTGACTGTCCACAGGAGATTTACCCACAGCCATCTTGCACAGCTCAAGTACATAATGCCAGAGGCAATCGTCATCAATAAGATCCTTTTGCGTGATGACACGACTTGCTGCATGTACCCTGATCTTCAGGTGAACCTCATAGTCAGTGCTGTTGAGAACGTCGTGAAGCAGAAGGGGGAAACAGCATACCTAGCATTAAGAAGGATATTTAGGCAGAGGCTTGTGGAATTCTACAGGGAGCACCCTGAGGTAAGGAAACCGTGTTATGCTTCACAGTCGGTTACTGTTTCATCAGAAGTTCAAGCTTGTTCTTCTAATAAGATAAAGATTATAATAATGTTGCCTCTGTTGTTAATTTCAGGGAGATGACATTCCAGAGCATGAGTTGCCACATCCATTTAACCCAACAAGATCAAGCATACCCCAGGATAAACAAAGGACTGTTCTTGAATCTTCTTCCCCACTCAATGGACAGCAGACCGCTGTGATGTCACACATGTCACAGTCATTCAAGAGAAGGTTTTCACAGAGATCTCCAATCAGCTCTACAACAGCTAGTGCACCCAGTCCACTGGTGAAAGTTGCTTCCACTGTTCCATCACCACTGAGCAGAAATTCCCTCTTCAGTCGGGATGTTTCTGGCAGCATGTGTGTTGATGATACATCAAGTGCTAAAGAAGCCGTCTGCAAGTCTGGTGTTTTAGAAAACACCCCTGCAAAATTTGCCTCTACACCAGTGAGGTTAATGGCGCCTACGCCAGACCTCAAGACACCAAAGAGACCGATCTCTGCCACAGGTTATGACACTCCGCCTCTGAAAATGGCAAAGAGATCAGCTCGTGCAAAGTTGTTTACCACTCCAACAAAGGATACCAGTATGGATGGAGAGAACCAAAGTGCAAGCATATCTGGTGCTGATGCTGATGATGAGTTACTCAGTTTTCTTCCACAATCCCTCCTTCAATCAGTAAGTCCATGCCGATACCTGCAATGATTTCTCAGTTGACTGTTTGCTCTATTATGAACAAAGAATAACATATGTATTGCTTACAGGTGAAAGAGAAGGAAGAGAGGGCTTTGGAGGAGAAGGAAACTGGGTTTGCTGATCAGGTTAAAAGGCAGAAGTTGATTGCTTCCCTGCCAAGCACCTTTGACATCATATTCCTTATCTATCAGTCAAGACAGCGGTCTGTAATGACAAAGCAGGAGCTGATCCACAAGATAATTGCAAGCAGTCCTAAGATAGCAGACAGAAGTATGTGTGAACTTTTATTTGTATCTGTTTTTTTTTCTGAGACATTTGTTGCCTCAACCTTTTGCAACGATTCTGACATTGAATGAATACTTCTTTAGGTGAAGTTGAGGAGCATCTGGCACTGTTGAAAGAGCTCATTCCAGATTGGATCTCTGAGAAAACTGCCCGAAGCGGAGATGCTCTGTGCTGGTAAGCCTTTTTTTAAGACTCATGTTTGATGCTCAAGTATTAGTACTCCCTGATCCTCAGCTACCCTTAGCATTTTTTAAATATGAAAAGTCTAATTCATTGCGCTGTTAATTTTCAGCATTGATGCCACTTTGAGCCAATCAGAAATTCGGCAAAGACTGTATGCTGCTGCTGAGTAGGGAGAAAGCTAAAATGACGAGCACCTGAAAACAGCACAAGCTAGGATTCACTCAAGCCAAGGGTCCTGAGATGCGGCCGGCTCATGTGCACTTCAGTTTCTATTGCTTTGTTGTGATAGAAACCCCTTAACTAGATGAAATGAATGACATGTATAGTGAAGCCATTCTAACAACTGATGCTTCCTCGTTCTTAGTTCGTCTCTTTGTAAATCCCCTTTTCTGAAATACCACTGAAATAAAAAAAAAATGTTCTGCTGATTGAGTCCATTTGTCTACTGAATGACTGGTTCGTCTCTTTGTAAATCCCCTTCTCTGAAGTACCACTGAGATCACAAAAATGTGAAGTCTGCTGATGAGTCCATTTGTCTACTGAATGACTGCCTTTCAGAGATCTGATTCCACACATGCATTTTCTGAAAGCAGTGTGGTGCTGTTTGGTTCAGCCGAGGGAGTGGTGACAGAAAAAGGTATGGAAGAGCTCTGTAAACATAGACAATTGACGCGAGCAAGGCGTCCACGATCGTAGCGATGCAACTCGTCTTGGAGACGGGTCTGGTTTGGTTGATCTCCCGGGTCCCGGCGCCCGTACTGAACATGATTGCGCTGCCCTATCTGACGTTCTTCAAGCCACTCCAACGGCACAGCCGCCGCCTCTGTCCTCCAAGCTCCAATCTCATACTGCGTCGTGCGCACACATGGCTGCGACGGACCGTGCCAAACATTGTCCAGCAAGCTGGCAAAATGATCCACCGTTTCACTTCGCCAGACGCACTGGCATAGCACAACAGACACAGAGGACCGGCAACACACCACAATGAAACCTAGAAAAGCTGAAACAGCTCACAACACAAGACTAGCTACTCAGTTCAGTATTGATAATTTTCTGAAGAAATGGTCCATGGCAGTGTGACTCCAACGATACTGATGCTGCACTCCTGATATGAAGTATTCCTTCTAGTTTCAACATATACATACATAACTGCAAGCTCTGCTTATCAATCTCACTGTAGCACCGGGGAAGCAGCATGCATCACATACAATAGGACACAAGGCATAAATAAAATGGTTCTATGCACGACAAAACAGAAGATGGAAACGGTGAGAAAAAAACATTCAGCTGAAAACGTCTATTATTTCAGTGTAGCTGAGCTTACATGTTACAAGTGAATGAAAAACACGGCATAGCCAGATAATAATTAAAAAAAAAGTTGAAACATGATGCAAAGCAAGACTTGTCTTGGGGGCATATCTCATCAAGGTCATACTTGCCTTGTGGGCAGAGACCCATCACCAACATACTGATAGGCAGAGTCCAGTCTCCAATTCAGGATATATATGAGAAACCCAAAATAACAAGCATGCTTTGTGGAAAGCGGATTACATAGCTTCAGAAGGGAAAAACCATGTTTGACGACCTCTTCTATCACCTTGTGTCTGCACCACCACAGCCTCGGGCAACAATGGTGTGATCTTCCCATTTCTCATGTTGAAAACACCAGAATCACAGAGAGGATCCACACGAGGTTCTGACTTGAGATAGTCGGAAATGAAGTAAATGCAGTCCTCCTGAACCCAACAGTCTGTAGCAGGGAAGGACTTGGAGCATCTGCCAACAAAGAGTGCTTGGCCTCCCAATGTCTTGACTGTCTTCCACTTACGGCAAGAATCTGCAGTCAAGTCTGCCTCAAAGACATCAAACCAAACAGTACGTGCACGCACCACATGCTCATCTGTTATGGGGACCAATATTGTGACATCCCTCCTCACATGCAACAGCTTACCATCAGATTCAACCAGATAATTGAAGTTTACATATGTGCACCTCTCGTCGTAGGTACATCTCCTTGAAGCCTCAATGGAGTCAACTATACATCTGGTGGCTGATATTTTTGGCTTGCCTTTGTGGCCCTCGCCAATCTCCGAGACAAATAGATTTGCATACATATTGAGAGCATACAGCTTTCCATCAAAGAACACAATATCAACGATGCTCTCAATATCTTTGTTGCTGACTGTGTCGGTGGCAATTGGGGGCTGGCAAATAGAAATTGTACCATGAAAATAGCTGTCCGTGGTAAACACAGCAAAAAGCGAATCTGGTGTCAAGGTCACGGACGAGGGCACCGCCAACTTATAGAGAAATGAATTTCTAGAGTAGGCATACCTATACCTCATGGTCCTCATCTCATGATGCCAAATAGTGGTCAGGTTAGGAAGCTCTAACTTAGCCTTGGAGAAAGAGTTCATCAATGAGCACCGACCATTATTGTGCATGAGGAAGAACCAGTTGTCCACAGAACCATGGCAAGAAGCACACGGTGAATTTCACCACTTGGAATGCTGAGGAAGGTCCCATCAAATAAGGCCACCCAGGGGAGCGGTGGGGGCAGGGGCTCAAGTCGAGCATTGCAGCGTCATGTGCGGCAGACTGCTCTTAGTCGAACACGATCAGCAAAGGAGGGGAGCCTCTTAAGGACCAGACCCAGAAGCTCCGGCTGAAGGTCTGGCCAAGGTGAAGATCGTGTGCCCATCATCATGCAAGAAGACTGCACAAATAACAAGAAGTGACCGAGGATTCAGAGTTTTAGCTAAGTTAACAGTAAACAATAAACATAACTATGAAAACACGCATCCTTGTTCGAACACTTGTATTGACTCTTTTATAGTATATAGATATAGATAGGCAGCTACAAGTTTGTACTTTGGGATGGGGGTTTCAAAATCTTTGTACATGTTATCTCTGTTTTAGTTTTCAGGTTATTATAACAAAGTTAAAGTTAATAGTAACAACAACAACAAAACCTTTTAGTTCCAAGCAAGTTGAGGTAGGCTAGAGTTGAAACCCAACATGAGCCACTGGTCACGGTTCAAGCTTAAAGTTAACAGTAAACAACAAAAATAACCATCCGTAAACTCCTGGTGACAAAAGCAGCAGCATAAAGTAACACATGGAATTTGAGAAGGCAACTGCAACCAACCTGAATATATAGAATTATGGCACAAGACTAAATAAAAATGGACCTAGTAATATATAGTTCTTAAAGAAAAATGGACCTAGTAGTATATAGTTCTTAGGAATTCTCATTTTACTTTCCAGATATGTTGATTATAACTAGTGCAAGAAGGCAAAAAATCCTTCCAGGATTTCTACTATTTCCTGAAGAATCTGCAGACTTCCATCGAAATTCCTACGTTCTAGTGAGTGATTTAACGAGTAAAGGGCTGGCCACCTAGCAATCATAAACTATGGCTAATATCAGCACATAATATCCACCGATTTGAATTCTCATTTTCATTAGAAAAAACAATCCAGATAGAACGAACAGTGTTGTCATGCAGATGAGATGGTCTGTATGTCAATCAAACCCGCATACCAAATTAATCAGACCACCTCAGAAGGACACGAATATCAGGGGATAGGGGCGGGGGACTTACGACCAATGGCGGCCGGTCAGAGAAGCGAGGAGGCAGGGAACCGACTCGCGCATACCCTGGGTTGCCTTGCCTGGCTGCACAACCGCCGAGAGGGATTCTTCAAAGGAGGCACGCCGCAGGTAGACGGGGGTCGTCTTTGGAGGTAGAGACGGGTGGCGGATCGGAGATTCGGATGGCTTTCCCGGTTTCCCCGGCGAGGTTTTACATCGCCGGACTCGCCGAGGGCGAGCATGCGCAGCGGGCAAGCGACGGCGAGGGCTTTCAGATCGTCGGTGGCCCGGTGGGACCGTGGGAGACAGAGGGGAGTGAAGGGAAACGTTGGGCTGGGCCGTTAAAATTTGAAATGTTACGGCCCAGTTCATCAGAACGAGTGGCCCATGCTTGTTCAGTTTGCGTTTCACTTGTAGCATCAGAAATCCATTCAGTTTCCATCTCAGAAGAAATATGCAAAAATTCCACCGGAATTCGAGATAAAACTCGTGTTTCATGCTGTAGCTACAACAAATGGGACCGAGATACTGCAACTTAATAAGGAGCAAGGGCAAATGCCATGAAAGACTGTTTTCCAAAAGAATAAGGAGCAAATAATTTGTGAGAATGCAATCTATCGTCGGAAAGCAAGGGCGAGTACCAGACGGCTACGGTTACTGATAATGTTACTGCAACTTCATTTACCAGTCGTACTGTTTCATCAGGAAAACAGAGTCATCCAGTATCTGATTGATGATGAAACAGTAATCTGATTCATATGTAAAATCTGCAGCAGGATGCAGAACAGGACATCATATTGTCACCACAAATTAGATAGGTCATGAACCAAAACAAGTTGCTTCTAAAAACAAAGACAGGACAAACAGAGCTCCACTCAACATCCAGGTGAAGCATATACTCCTTGCTACAGGATGGGCATAAATAAACATTAACGAAACAACTTTGCACAAATGCATGTCTAGATTAAAATATGCGTATGTGGATAATACTAGTCTTGGAGAGTAGATTTAATACATACTCCTAAATACGGTACGAAAAACAGATCTCTTAAGGCACCCGTAACAAAACAACAGGGGCTGTTCGCTTGAACTTATCAGCTAGAATCTACAGTATTTTTCTCTCACAAGAAAACAGCTTCAGCTAGCTTTAATCCCAAGGCACTAAGCAAGATAGGCTGAGTCCATCACACAGCATCAACAGGGAAATACCATGTCAGAGTCCACTGGCCACGCTGATGGCGAGGAACTGTTGCAGTCTCTGACAACAAAGGTGTAATCATCCCATTTGCAATGTTGTACACACCAGAGTCACCAAGAGGATCTTCAGGGTGATCTGGCCAAGGATAGTCACACATGAAATATATGCAATCCTCTTGAATTCCATTGCCTTCTCCAGCAGGGAAAGACTTGGAGCAACGCCTACCAACAAAGAGTGCTTGGCCACCCAAATTTTTGATGCGTCTCCATTGGTTGGGGTTGGTGCTCAAATCTGCCTCAAAGATCTCAAATGAAGTAGTGCGAACATGCTCAAAGTAATTGCTTGCTGCTAAAAGCCTCCGGGGAATCTCAAGCCATCGTGTCACCATCAACAGTCTACCACAGCATTCAACTAGATATTTGGTGACCATACGTTCCTTGTCTGACAGGGGCTTGGGCAGGTCAGGTATGTTATCCATAGAGTTAATTACATTTTCTATGGATGAAATCTTTGGTTTACTACCAAGGCCATAACTAATCTCAAATGTTAAGAGACCAAAATCAAGACCATAAAACTTCCCATCAAAAAATGTAACATCAAAGAGCCGCTGAAATGGATCTAGGAAGTTTCCTCTAGAGAAGTCAAAGGCAATTGGTGGTTGACAAACACCAATTGTAGCGTTACCACCATCATCCAAGATCAGCACAGTGACAGGGGAATCTGGTGATGAGTCCAGGGGTGAGGAAACAACAAGCTTATACCGACATGGATTGAATGTCGAGTATGAGTATGAGTATTTATTAAATGGATCTATGTCCATGGCTATCTTAGGAAGATCCACCGTGGCCTTGGAAAAAGGGTTCACCAGTGAGCATCCACCATCACTTTTCACAAGGAACAACCAGTTGTCAATGAAACCATAGGAGCAACCATCATATTGTTTAGGCATTCCGATAATTTCACCACCTGGGATACTCAGGAAGCTTCCATCAAGAAGGATGAGGCATGGGTTCGGAGGGGGCAGTGCTTGCAGGCGAGCATTGGAGCGCCATGGCCAGCAGACTGCTCTCAGTCGAACACGGTCAGCCAGGATGGGCAGCCGCTTGAGGACAAGTCCAAGGAGTTCTGGCTGCAGGTCTGGCCACGATGAAGATTGTGTGGTCTTCATCACAAAAGATCCCAAGCCTAGCAAGAAATGAAACATGGTTCAGGGTTCACAACGTAAACAGAAAAATTAATCATGTGTACTGGCATGTGCAGTGATATTAAGTGTAGTTCACAATCAAGCAAATAAGTACCGCTGAAACTATTCCTGCATTAAGACATAAGGGTGTTTGCCTTGATGGATGAACTCACCCTAGATGGAATGGTCCATCATAGTTCATACCATGAATTTGGTGGGATGGAACACTCTGTCATTCTTATATAATCATGTGCGTGTGAGGAATGAGGAGGTGATGGATCAATCTGTTCCATTCCTCAAACGAAACATGGATGCAATGAGAAGGTGATGGATCACCTCATTCCTCTAGCCAAACAGTCAATCAAACACCCTAAAAAGAAAAGAAGACTCCCTCATCCGGCAGACTGGCCTCTTTGTGGCAAGGACGAAGAATCAATTCAGTACCTGTTGATCTCCTGTGTTTGCTTGACAGGTTTGGTTGATAATTTGCCAGCGGTTGGGCCTCATTGCCATCACACCCCCAACCTTGCTGGTGGTACAGGGCAGTTAAGAAGGTATCTAAGGAGGTCAGGAATGGGCTTCACTCAATATTCTTGTGGCTTTGGAAATTTAGAAGCATCAGAACAACTGTCTTCAATAATGCAAATCCAAGTATCTCAATGGTGCAGCAAACAGTCACAGATGAGAGCATTCTTTGGTGCGCTGCTGGAGCAAAAGGCCTCCAGGAGTTACTTACCAGGTGCTCCATTAGGCTAGTGGTCTTGGTTTATAGTTGTCTGGTTGCATGCTTTAGCAGGTTTGCTTCTGGTGCTATCCTTGTGATAGTTTTTTTTGGGTGTGTGATAGTTTTTTTAGGGTGTGTATTGTGACCATGAATCTTGGGTGTATACCCTTTGGGGGTTTCTCTAACAACACCTCCCCTCCCCTCCCCTCCCCTTCCCTAGTATTGGCTTATTTCTTAATGAAATGGTACACAATCCTTTAATGTGATATGGACTGAGCATATCTTGATCAGTGGGATATGTGGGTGGACACTACGCTTCCCTAGCTGTGAATTGGTGCATTCTGTTTTGTTCTTCTTTTGATAAAAGGATACCTAGTTCCTCTTGGGCAATCTCATTTACTAACAGAAATGATGATTGTTTTTTCTACAAAGACAATGAGCCAGACTAAAGTATGACATATTGCTAAGGAATTGCCTGAATTGACTGAATCCTTCAAAATCTCTATGCTTCAGGGTGGGGAAAGCCAACTGAAGTACTGAACTCGTGTCTAGTAATTGCAGTTGCAGTACAATATTCAAAAACAATATCGACCTATGAGATATTATATCCCCAAAAAAATGACGAAGTTCCAGTTCTAATGAAGCAAAACCCCACACGGCCACACCAAGCTACTGTAGTTAAATTATTCGGAAAAGGGGACAGGGACCAGGGTGACATATACCAAATCTAATGGCATGCACTCAGACAATCTAGAAGTGAGGCAATAGGAAGGAAGGAAGGAAGGACGGACTCCTACCAGGGGTTACCAACAGTCCCTCGTGCCCTGCTGCGGCGAGATGCGCCGCCGCTTGCGCGAACAGGACGCGGCCGGGGCGCGAATGCTGTAGCAGCCGGCGGGATTCGCCAATGAGGCAGCGCGCAGGTAGAACAGCTGTGGACGGTAGAGGAGGGGCGGAGGGCCGATCTTCTCTAGCTAGGCTTACATCGCCGAGGACGAACAGCGGGCGGCGAGGGTTTCTCGGATCGGCGGTAGTTTTTTTTCGCGATCGGGCCGTTCACCGGTTTTTCATTAATAGAAAAAAATTCGAAGACACAAAAGCGCTTACACGAAGGCGAGGAACCGTCGATGGTCCGCGCAACCAAAGCACCTATCTACTGGATTCTATGCCAGTTTAGATTGCAAATTTTTGCAATCCGAATACTGTAACATGTTTCGTTTGTATTTGACAAATTTTGTCCGATCATAAACTAACTAGGCTCAAAATATTCGTCTCGTGATTTACCACTAAACTGTACAATTAATTATTTTTTTTACCTACATTTAATGTTCCATACATGTGTCTAAAAATTGATGTGATAAAGAGAAAGTGAAAAAACTTAGAATTTTGATGGATCTAAACAAGGCCCTAGAGTAGCTAATTACATAAACACCGTGCTGCGCGACCAAAGGGGGCAAACATCAGCCAGCGTCTTAAAGCCGGCGAGAACCCACGACATCTCTACGAGCGCGCGAGTTAAGGCCTCGTGCGTTCCAAATGAAAATGTTATTGCCTAACATAGGGAACAGACTATGGCGACAACGGCGTGCACACTTAGGCGTCGCGAACGGACCTGGCGGCCCGCTGCTTCCTGCCCGGGAAGAGCACCTGCATGGCATCCCTTGTTGATGGCGAGAGCGGAAGGGCTTAGGCGGTCCGGAACTCCTCGAAGGAGGCCTCGTCAGGCAGCTGCGTTTCAACCTCCACCCCAAGGCGTTTCATCATTACCTTCCTGGCTTGAGCTCTCTGTGCTGGCTCTTGGCAGCCAATCTCGCGCTTCGCTTGGGGACGAGCTCGGAGTCCTCCAGTTCCCTCGTCCACGCACTGGCTGCCCTGGTGACCCGGAGGGGGGCGGTGAGAGAACAATGGGCGCGGGCAAAGGCTTCTTGAAAGCGAGGATGAAGTCCTCTTTGGTCTCCCGCTCGGTCGTGAGAGTGAACTCGTCCTCCTGGTTGTGGCCCAGCTGAGGCACTGGGCTCTCATCACTCATCAGCAGCGAAGTCCTCCACGACCGCGCCCGTTTCTTGGGCTGTTGCCGGCCTCGGCGAGCTGAGGCCCGAGTCGCAACCCTCATGCCCAGACAAGCACAGGTCCACCGCCATGAACAGCTCCGAGATGGGCGTGTCGGTATGGGCCATGTTGAAGGCGCATCCGAACAGCACGTCAGGCCCATCAGTCGGCCCAGAGGCGCAACCGGAGCGCGCAGCCTTTCAAGAGCTCGAAATCTGCTTCTAGGGCGGACCCCACCAACCCGTGACGAGGTGTGCGCGAAGAACGGCCGCCACGCGGAGCGCGGCGTGTCGCAGGCGCCAGCCTCCTGACGCGGCGTGCAGAGGGTTGCTTCGACGAGCATTGGGTCGCCCCTGACCGTTTGACAGAAGAGGGTGAGCTCACGCACATGGGCGCGAAGTCAAGCTGGGCCTCCACGGGCGCCTCGACACGCGTCCCCCGCGTGACACGAATTCCGCTGCCAGCCGTGCCGCAGGGCATGGCGCCACGCCGCGACATGACTGGGCAACAGAAGTCTCCCACCCGGACGACCTGCCTCGACTCCTGCGCCCTGAAGGTTGGACCGGAACCGCGACCAAGGCGCGGCTCCGTGGGACCGGCGAAACAAGTCATCCGCGGCCGCGCACCGCCGCCGAAGCCAGGATGCCAGCCGTTGTAGTTGCTATCGTCACTGTCTTCCTCGTCTCCGACGCCGTAGTCGTCGTCGAAAGATGGCGGAGGAGTGTGCCAATCCTGGAACTCCACAATCCTCAGGCGGACCAGATACCTCAGCGCCGGTAGGCCGTCCGGGTACAGCGGCGATCCGCCGTCGTGCTCATCCTCCGGCTCCGGCACCACCATAATCATCTCGTCGGGGTGGGCGCACCACGCCGTGATGAACAACTCGCGCTCGTTGTCCGGGTCATCCAGAGCCTCAGGGTCAGCGAGCTCGGCCTTAGCCCCCGCCGAGCCAAGAATGGCCTGCGCCACCTCCGACGAGCGTGCGTGGGAGGGGATGCCCTTCATGCCGACTAGGACTCGGAACCTGAACGCACCCGAGGACCCCATGATGAGACGGCTCCAACGCCGCCACCGGAGCACGAACGGAGCACCCTCCGGCAGTGGGGTGGCAAGCACGAGTTCTAGGTCCTCCTGCCGCCGGAATCGAATAATGAAGTCATCCGGCCGGGTACGACACACCGTCACCAAGTCGCCGGCAATGCCGAAGTGGTGCTGAAGATGATGAAGCACCATTGCTGGGGTCACTGCTGGGTGCTGGCCTCGTGCCGATGACCAGGGCCACAGCCCACAGCGCCAGCGACAAAGCGTCCTCAGCCGCCTGCAGGGCTGGGGTCCGAGGGATGACGACCAACCCGAGCAGAGGAGTCCGCGCCCGCATCCTCGGTGACGCTGGCGGCTCCACGGCTCGCCGCAGGAGTGAGCGGGGTAGCCACGGGAGCGCGCCTGTTGTAGGATGTCCGCATCCACAGCACCGAACCCACCCGTCGCAGCCAGAATGTTGACGTGCAGCCCAGTACCCGTTGCCACCGAGCGGCCCACGCCCACAGGCTCGACGACAGGTTCTACCTCCGGCGCAGACTCGGCCACGATCTCCGCCGATTGGGGGTCGCACACTGGTGGCACGGTCGGTGGAGACGGACCATGCGGAGTCCGTGTCCGCCGGAGATCCTCGAGAAGGCGACGAGCGACGCCGCCGAGCGGCCCGCTGCCCACGCATGGGCCCATCGGGGGAGTGTCCCCGCTTCCCCCCAGCGACCGGGAGCCGAAGGCCTGGGGCAGTCGCGCTCCTGATGGCCCTCCTCCTTACAATTGAAACACCTGGAGGGGAATGTGCATTTGGCGTGCACGTGGTCACCAGCAAGGCAGTTGAAGCACTTGCCGATCAAGTTGGAAGGCACCGGCCGCGGAGGCACCGCAACACACCGCTAGTGCCTCCGGCACTGCATTGGATGGAAACCCTCAGTGTCTGGCTCGACCGACATGCAGGGCGGGTGAACCACAACGGAGGCAAGACGCTGCGGTGCTGGTGGTGGGTTCCTGGCAGGCGCCGATGGGCATCGGCCATGAACCCCCCACGACGGGGACGGCGACGCCTGCGACGACGCTGCCACGATGGCGGTATGGCAGCCTTCCCGTGGCCAAACGACGACGGCGCTTCAGAGTCACCAAACGAAGCCTCAGAGTCGGTGAAGCGCAACCTGGCTGATGGACCAGGGTCCTAGGGGTTCCCCACGGAGATACTACCTGGATAGGCCCTGGGATGGCCCATGATCTATTGAAGGACGTGAGACAAGGTGGCGTGGACTTTAAGCTATTTCAGATCGACTTAGTCGGCTTACTATGAAAGCTGAATTCTGTAATAGGACTAGGACTCTTCTCTTATAACCGACTAGGACTAGATACAGTGCCCTTACCCTCTCCCCTATATAAAGAGAGGTATGGCGCAACCCTTGTAACCCAAACAATTATACAATCAATCCAATGCAAAAGGTTATACGTCGATTGGACGTAAAGGCTATTACTCGATAAGAGGGTCCAGACCAGTATAAATCAATTGTCTCTTTGCGTTACCGTCGAGTTCTGCATACGCCGAAGCCCTTTAAACATCATCCCGGGTAACCTCGTGACATGTTGCCAGTCATCAAACACCGACAGTTGGCGTGCCAGGTAGGGGCTTTCGGCGACTTCACGATCGAGAGCTCGGCGGACCTCGACGACATGATTTTCTCGGTGGGTATCACCTTCATCTTCGGCTCCTGGATCTGCAAGGCAGACGACAACGGCAAGCTTCAAAGTTGTCTCATGGAGATCCCAGTGCCTCAAGCTTCACCAGACGTCTCGACGACCACGCTGGATCAACTCGTCGAGAAATTTTTGTACCTCTCAATCTCTGATCCAACTCACACTCAGGAGGTCACCATCAACCACGACTCCCGCTCGGACATGTCACCTTTGTTCGGGCTAGAGATCCAATCTGAAGTCCAACACGAAGACCCAGTTCGTTTTCCACTCGGACTCAAGAACTCAGCTTCAACCTATCAAGATATGATCAGCTACCTCGTGCAGGATGAGCAAGAGATCCCTCTTACGGGTGCCCAGAGAGGTTTGGTTCTATCCATCACACCCAAAGGAGGCATCGTCCTCTGATCGGGTGCTCGACCTGACACTTCTTTAACAGATCTATCTCGTCTAGTCGGCATGGTGGAACTCTTGCCTTATCAGGACGACAGAACTCTTCCAGCGGACAAGAATGATCACGGTTCTATAGAGATCTTGGACATTGCGACGACTACATAATCTAGAACTCACTCGGCCATGAGGCACTCCAGAGAAGTCTTTATGGCTGGACAACCACCTCAGATCCCTATGCCTAACCCACCAGATATCCAAGATGGAGATGAAGCCTTGTCCGACATCTCCCCAGACACTGTGCCACCCAACGGAGAGACGAATGAGCAGAAGACAGCTAGGGAAAAGAAGAACAACGCTCAACAGGCTTGGTGCAACCGTGCCCAACACCCCAAAGAAGAGTGGCAGTGGTACCAGTCGGCTTGTCGAGACGTTGAACGACGACGCTTGGCTGTAGAGGCAGCATATGAACGTCTATGGGATGAAGAAGCAGAACGACAGTGCCAAGACCATGATGCCGCTAGAGCCTCTGCATCACGCAACCTTGAACCTGAGTTCATGGAAGTAGCTGGCCACATGGTCTTTACTATGCCCTACGCCAACGTCTATCCCCTGGTAGAAGAGATGGCGGCCATAGAAAACCCTACTCCAAATCAGCAATGACTCAAAGTCATTCTAGAATCCACAACCCTTTAGATGCAGGATGCAAAAGTGACATCCCAAGCTAACCCTTCCCGAGGACCAGAGGCACGGGCACCAGCCCACTCTCGTCTGAGACCATAGGGTAACCAAGGAGGAGAACAGCGAGTACCAGCCCACTCCTGTCTAGGGCCGCAGGGTAACCAGAATAGGAATCAGGGTGCCACACTGTCAGCCTATCATGGGCACCAGTACAATAATAGGAAAGGTAGAGGCGAGTCCGAGTATAGAGAGGCTAACATCTCACCGGACAGGTTCCCATATTTCTCTAACAGACTACTCTCTGTCCGGCTTCCCTACAAATTCAAGCCATCCAACCATACCAAGTACGACGGAAAGATAGAACCCAACCAATGGTTGCGTATCTATTCTCAGTCCATCGAGTTGGCAGGCGGTGATGATGACATCAAAGTGTTATATTTTCCCATGGCACTCGACACTGTGCCTCTCGCCTGGTTTGATAAACTACGAGCCAACTCCATCGATACTTGGGGACAGCTTCAGCGCAAATTCTGTGAAAAATTTTGCGACGTCCTCACCCACCCAAGTACTCGGAACGAGCTTAGAACTTACAAGCAGAAACCAGATGAAACCTTCCAGCAATATTATCGCCGCTTTGCTGAGTTATGAGCCCAAGTCTATGATATCACAGACAGGGAGGGGATAGATCACTTCGCCAACAGGATCAAATACAAGTGGCAGTTTAAAAAATTCTACGATGATAATCCAGAGACCACCGAGGAATTTAAGCGTATAGTACAGAAGATGATTACATCTGAAGAGCGTACTCGCGAACGATTCCCACGCGGCCAACAAGACAAAGGTTACGACCCCAGAAGCAATCAGGGTGGACAATTCGGTAGAAAGAGAGGACCCGACAACACTCTTGCTTTCATGGATAGGTCAAAGAAGTCTAATAAAAATAACAAGAAGTTAAAAGACCTCAAGAATTTACCGTGCCCTTTCCACAAGAACGCCAAGCACAAAGCGGCCGAGTGCAGACAAGTCCAAGAACTGGGTTTCTATGACAAAAGCAACAAGGGCAAGGGTAAAGCTGATAACAACAAAGATAGAGACGACAACGCTGACCCCTGGCTACCAACAGTCTAAGGGCCAGATCACAGTAATCTTTGCAGGGCTACCGACTTCATCAAACAAGTGCTCAGGAAAGTTGGCTTTTTGGGACATCATGGCAGGAGAGCCCTCAACACTAAAATACCTTAATTTGTTTGAGTACCCGATCCAGTTTTCCAGAAAAGATTAATTCACTAGTGTGACTAACGCCGGCGACTATCCACTCATCTTGGGTCTAACAATAGCCGGCATGATAGTCCCACTGACGTCCCTTTCTACGGGATTGAATATAATATTTGCAGATACGCTGAAGAAGATAGACCTGGACTTTACCAGCCTACTCACCCCCACTGACGTCCCTTTCTACGGGACAGTACCCGGCAAGGCTGCCATACCAGTTGGACAGATCACACTTCTGGTAATGTTTGGCAACCCAAACAATTTTCGAACGGAATTCATCAAGTTCGAGGTGGCTGATTTCGAATCATCATACCATGCTATCTTCGGTCGACCTGCTTTGGCCAAGTTCATGGCCGTACCACATTACCCGTACCTCTTGCTCATGATGCCGGGTCCCAATGGTGTACTCTCCTTCCGAGGCGACCTCAAGCGCTCATATGACTGTGACATGGAAGCTGTCTAGATTGCAGCCAGAACGAAGCAAGCCTATGAAGCACAGGAGTTTGCCAACATTGCACAGCAGACTAAGTCGGAAGACATGGATATTCTGACTAAGAAGGCAGGAATTATTGCACCACCCTCTAAGACAGATACCATTGAGATTGATCTGGGTACTGGTGATCCCTCTAAGACGGCTATCATCAGCGCCCACCTTTCCAAAGAATAGGAACTTGCTCTCACCAACTTTCTAAGGGAAAACAAGGATATCTTTGCATGTAAGCCGACTGCTATGTCGGGTGTTCCGAGAGAGTTTGCTGAGCACAAATTGGATTTAAACCCCGGCTCAAAGCCAGTCAAGCAACGTTTATGATGGTTCTCACCAGATAAGAAAGTAATAATCAAGAAGGAAATCATCAAGCTATTGGTAGCCGGATTCATTAGGGAAATCCTTCACCCTAATTGGCTAGCTAATCTTGTACTCGTCTAGAAGAAGAACTCGAAAGAGTGGTGCATGTGCGTCGACTACACAAATCTCAACAAACATTGCCCGAAGGATCCCTTTGGCTTACCTCGTATTGATCATATTGTAGACTCTACAGCTGGGTCGGCTCTTTTATCCTTCCTTGATTGCTACTCGGGTTACCATCATATTGCCCTCCGTAAAGAAGATCCGAGCAAGACATCCTTCATCACTCTGTTTGGTGCCTACTGTTACACGACCATGTCCTTCGGGTTAAAAAATGTCGGTACAACCTATCAGTGGGCTATCCAGGCGTGCCTAAGCGAACAGATCGGTCATAATGTAGAAGCCTACATGGATGATGTCGTTGTCAAGACCAAGGACCCTTCTAGTCTAATCACAGACTTGATGCAAACCTTTGATAGTCTTCGTGAGTACAAGTGGAAGCTTAACCCAACAAAGTGTGTGTTTGGAGTTCCTTCCGGATAGCTATTGGGTTTCCTCGTGAGCCATTGGGGTATCGAAACTAGTACGAAATAGATTCAAGTAATCACTCAGATGACTTGACCTCACTGCGTCAAAGATGTTCAGAAACTGACAGGGTGCATGGCTACCCTCAATCGTTTCATCTCATGACTCGGGGAGAAAGGTTTGCCTTTCTTCAAGTTGTTGAAAAAGTCAGGCAAGTTCGAGTGGACAGCTAAAGCTGACGAAGCCTTCCAGAAGCTCAAAGAGTACCTATCCACCTCTCCAATACTTACTCCACCCGAGAAGCACAAACCACTCCTACTCTACATTGCAGCTACTACTATGGTAGTCAGTACAACAATAGTCGTGGAGTGGGCTAAAGAAGGGCACGCATATATGCTACAATGACTTGTCTATTATATTAGCGAGGTGCTATCAGAATCCAAGGCCAAGTACCCACATGTGCAAAAACTCCTCTATGCCCTCTTGATCACTTCACGCAAGCTACGCCACTACTTTGACGAACACAAGGTAACAGTGTTATCCGACTTCTCACTTGGCGACGTCCTACGCAATCAGGATACAACAGGACGCATATCCAAGTGGTCAATCAAACTCAGAGCTCAGAACATCGAGTTCATCTCTCGTAAAGCTATCAAATCTCAAGTCTTGGCTGATTTCATAGCCGAATGGACCAAAGCCTAGCAGCCTACTCCAACAGTTATCCTCAACCATTGGAAGATGTATTTCGATGGTTCCCTCAAGCTAGGAGGCGTTTGCGCTGGTGTTCTCTTCATATCTCTAGATGGAAAGCAGCTTAAATATGTCCTACAAATACTTTGGCTTGCTACCAACAATGAAGCTGAGTACGAGGCCCTCCTTCACGGCCTCCGAGTAGCAGTCTCACTCGGCATCAAGCGTTTGCTCATCTATGGCGACTCCTTGGTGGTCATCAACTAGGTCAACAAGGATTGGGACTACACCAAGGAGACCATGGATGCTTACTACGTAGAAGTCCGCAAACTTGAGAAACACTTCCAAGGTCTAGAAATCCTACATGTTATGCGATATCTCAATGTTGCGGGTGATGTTTTAGCCAAATTGGGATCAGATAGAGCCCAGGTACCCCCTGATGTGTTTGTTCAGGAACTCCAAGTCCCTTCAATCAAACAAGAAGCCTCCATATCTACCGGTACTCCAACTCCTGATGTCTAGGTACTAGTGGTCAACCCGACATGGACGCAAGTATTTATTGATTACATCCGAGACCATAAGTTGCCCGACGACAAGGTAGAAGCAGAGCAGATCACGCGTAGAAGCAAGAATTACGTCTTAGTTGGTGACAAGCTCTACCGATGGGGCGCATCATCTGGTGTTCTCCTCAAATGCATTACACCTAAAGAAGGGCAGAAAATCTTAGAGGAAATTCACTCCGGGTGTTGTGGCAACCACGCGACCTCCAGGACCTTAGTCGACAAGGCTTTCAGATTCGGGTATTATTGGCCTACAACACTGAAAGACGCAAAAGAGTTAGTGCAACACTACAAGGGTTGTCAGTTCTTCGCTAAGCAAGCTCACGTCCCAGCTCATAACCTTATCTGCATCCCTCCATCATGGCCTTTTTCGTGCTAGGGATTTGACATGGTTGGACCTCTGAAACGAGCATCGGGTGGTTTCAAGTACATCTATGTGGCTATTGACAAAGTCACTAAGTGGATAGAGTACAAGCCACTCGTCAAGTTCAACGCTACAAAGACAGTCGAGTTCATGCAAGACATTATGTACCGGTTCGGTATGCCTAATCGGATCATCACAGAACTCGACTCACCTTTTATAGCTATCGAGTTTAGAAGTTGGGCTCAAAATTGTGGCATCAACATTGACTATGCTTCCGTAGCTCATCCTCTAGCGAACGGCCAAGTAGAGCGGGCGAACGAGCTACTTCTAGCTAGACTAAAGCCCATGCTATTCGACGAGCTTAAAGACTATGGCAGCAAGTGGATCTATGAGTTAACCAAGGTAGTTTGGGGACTGTGCACTTAGCAAAGCAGAGCGGTAGGGTACTCCCTTTTTCTAGTTTACGGCTCAGAAGCCATTTTGCCAGTAGATTTGATATGGAACTCTCCCAGGGTTGAACAATACAATGAAGATGAAGCAGATGAAACCCGGCGGCTAGAAATTGACAGTGCCGAAGAAATCAAGCTTAACGCACTCTTCAAGTCTGCCAGGTACCTACAAGGCCTACAACGTCACTACGACAAAAACGTGCGCCCCCATACCTTTCAAGTTAGAGATCTAGTCCTCAAGCGTATCCAGAATACCTCAGGACGACACAAGCTAC